GAGAGCAGCGCCTTGCCTGACTGTTGGGGTTTTGACAGGAGCATGACCTCCTCTGCTCGGGAGAACGTGAACCGATACTCGGTGTGACATGCCTGCCCAGCGCCCTGTCATCCTCCCCACCGCGGTGTCAGTGAGATCGCAGCGTGATACACTGTAGAAACACGGCCAGCCTGAGGAAAAGCAGGATTTAGGGAATGCCAGCCACACTGCCAGGCAGAGGAAGGGGTGTCAGTTCAGCAGAAAGGCAACACAGTGGGAATGTCACTGTGCTGGAGCCCGGTGAGGCTTGCCAGCCAGGTTTTGTGCAGGAGATCTCTAATACCGAAATGCATAATCTGCCACTGGGGAAGCATCATCTGACTGGGGCATTTCAGTGGGACCACTGTGCTGGGCTGACTTTCCTGGGGTGCAAACAGGGAGTTGGCAGGGTTCTGTTGCAGATGCCATTTAATGTTCTGCTACCCCAGCTTCACACTCCCGATGTAGATGGGCACAGAGGGCTACCGTGGGCTGCTGTGCCCCATGACAAATCTCTAACTGCTGAGCAGAGGTGGCAACTTTTCCTCTGGGCAGGGAAGGAAACCACAACGGAGCTTATTACACCTTCCCTGCAACAGCTGGTGCCAGTTGAGGTGGACCAGAGGCAATCCTGGAATCATGGAATGGTTTGGCAGGAGTAAATCACCCTGTGGCACAGTGGTGGTTCCTGACTTGGCCCTCTGGTATGGCACTCAGCCTTGCCCCTTCACTGGAGCACTCAAGTGGGTTCTGTTTGTTCTCCTGCTGAGGAATATCATGAAGTTATGGACCAGTGACCCCCTATGTCCCAGTATCTCCCGGCTGGAAGTCCCAGGAGGCTGACTTGCCTTTCAGGATCAGCCTTTTAAATCAGGTTGGCGGCAGACGCCCCTGTGATGGCTCGAGAACAAAGACTTCTTCCTTGTCGAGAAACCACCACCCAAACCCAGCTCCTCGAAATATGTGCTCCTCTCCATTTTTAATGCTGTTTGCATCCAGCTTGCTCGTCCTGTTTCCGAAGGGTTGGGCCTCCTAATGAAAAGCTCCAGCGATCTTATGTTTGGCAAATGTTATCAATGGCTTTACTATGTGTTCCCTGCTTCTCTGGGCAGTGGGAATGGTTTGGGCAGGAGTTCCTGATCAGGGAAACTCTCTGAGGTCAAGGCCTGATTCACTTTGGGTCTTTGTACTGGCTTGGCATGGAGAGAAGCTGTCATAGGGTCAGGCTCACCAGCATAATGACAATTGCATTGGAAGCCTGGAAATACCTGAGATGAAGGAGTTGTCTGAAGCTTCCAGACTTCATCCTTCATCATGGAGTGAAGAGCTGTCAGCAATACCCCAGAGAACAGTTCATGGACGATTTTACCTTAAATTGGATGACTGAAACAGGGTGAGGGTGTAAACCCACAGTGGTGCCAGCAGCCCCCTAACCGACACTGACAGCCAGCTAGGGCTCTGATCAGTCTGCAGCCAAAACTTTCAAAAATTCATGTTTATTGTCCTATGTGTGTATCTACCCCAGCAGCAATGACTGACACTCTGCTGATTCTGTTTTTCGTCTGGGTGATGGTGAGGGAGGAAAGGGTTCACCACCGTTTATAACCTCTGTACTACGTATTTATTTTTTTGCTGTGAGCCCCACAAGGAGGACAGAAGGTGAAGCACAGAGGCTGTGACTCGACATGAACCTGTGTGACCCTCTCTGCCATACCACCTGGACTCAGGTAAAAATTCCACTTTGCAATATTTCCTTTGGAGCCTGACAGATGTTCCATAGCTAGACCTTTGTGTAAGGCAGGTGTAAGCACCAGGAAAGGTTTGTGCTATTTGTCCCCATCCAGGAAGGGTTTTGCTTGCGTGTGTTCGTTAATGGGGCAGGGACAGCTCGGCATGTTGGTCACTCCTTGCAACAAGCATGTGATGGGACATTCCATCACGCCAAACAAATCTGGGAGGACAAATAGGTGGGGGCTTGATTCAGGCAGATTAAGCACCAAAACATTTGGTTTTGTTTCCTGGGTGCTCCTGAGCACCCAATTCTGCTGCTTTGGTGTTTTCATGGGTGCAGCAAAAGGCTGATTGTGCCTCAGACAGGACAGGATCTGTCCAAGGGGATTCGTGCCAGTGGGTCCTTTGTGACAGTCAGGTGGTGTAGTGTGGATAGAACCTGCTGTTACCTGGCCTGGGAATAGGATCATGGAATCCCAGAACGGTTTGGGTTGGAAGGGACCTCAGAACCCACCTAGTTCTACCCCACTGCCATGGGCAGGGGTGGAACACATCTTCCACTAGCCCAGGTTGCTCCAAGCCCCATCCAACCTGGCCTGGAGCACTTCCAAGGCTGGGGCAGCCACAGCTTCTCTGGGCAACCTGTGCCAGGGCCTCTTTGTTTCTATCACCACCAGGAAGCAAACAGCAGTGTGGCTGAGGTGCTACAGGCCTGCACCCCTGAATTTTCAGCCCCTGGCAAGTGCAAATGAGCTCAGAGCTTAGGTGCTCCTTCCCAGGGCAGGACAGGGGCCTACCCACAGTAGCAGGATCAGGATCAGAAGAGGCTTTCACACACATCCAGGCTTGCCTGAGTCTTCCTTTGGGAGGCTTAGCTGGAGCCCAGGATCTGAACAGGATCCTCCGCACTTCAAACACTCCTTCGATCTAAACCATTGTTTATTTGAATAAATAAATACAAAAAAGGAAATTCTGAATACAAAACCTGCTTCTACAAAACCCACAAACTCCCCAAGTTTTCCATTAACACATTTTTGATGTAAAAACTCTGTACTTGCACAAGTTCTTCAGTTAAAAGACAGGGCTTGAATGTAGTAATTTTTGCAGAATAGTGGAAATAAACACATTTAACACCGAGCGGAAATACACCTGCCAACACTCTGTTGGACTTTTAAATAGAGCAGAGGGGAGAGTGAGTGGGGAATGGTCTTGTTCATTTTAAAGCCATCATTTAACCAGTGTGTCAGTGAAAACCAGCAGCCCAAACCCTGCAGCTTGACTCTCCAGGTATGCACAAAACCCAATTCCACTCTCTCCCACTGGGATACATCAGGTTCTGCCCTACTAAAGTCAGGGACATTGCCACTGAGGTCTGGAAACACAAATGAGAGCAGCAGAGCTGCTGTGCCCTCCAACACAGACCATCCTGGCCTGATTCATTTCTGTGTCACTCTTGCTGCATGTTGCTGCTGTACCATGAAAACTCCCATCATCCCAGCAGGAATGCACTGGCTCCTGTGCTGGGAATGAATATTTAGTATTGATCCCCAGCAAATGCCAGAGCATTAGGGGATTTGCTGGTTCATCTCTTGTCTTTGCCCATAAACAAGCCATCAGTGAGACAGTGTCACACAGCTGCTGGGCAGGACATCTCACCTGCCACTCAGGGACACCTCTGCCCTGAAAGTTTCTGATCGTACAGGATTTTTATATACAAGTGCTGGGAATGAATATTTAGTATTGATCCCCAGCAAATGCCAGAGCATTAGGGGATTTGCTGGTTCATCTCTTGTCTTTGCCCATAAACAAGCCATCAGTGAGACAGTGTCACACAGCTGCTGGGCAGGACATCTCACCTGCCACTCAGGGACACCTCTGCCCTGAAAGTTTCTGATCGTACAGGATTTTTATATACAAAAGGATTAAATATTTGAAGTGAAGCCCCCATCTTTCATGGAAGGGAAGTATTGGAGGTGTGTTGGAATGTGCTGGGGCTCAGCTGACAAAGGCAGCAATGACTGTGACCTTCAGCCCTGACTCAAGTGCATAGGCAGCAAGCAGCACAGCATTGAGGATGACATCTGCCCACAGCACATATGTCTGCCACACCAGGAGGTACACACACAGCACCACACTGCCCACGGTGAGCCCAAGGCTCAGCCCCAATGGAGCCTCTTCCTCCGTCAGGTTACCCTTGACACCTGGAAGGACACAAAAAGCCAAATAGTCTGATTTGTTCTGACAATAGCTCAAGCCAGAAGTTGAATATTCCTGCACAAACCTGGTTCTAGTTCTTGTCTTGCTCTTACTGAGCCTTGCAAGGGCTCAGAGTCCATTGAAATACAGGCCTGAATCAAAACTCTACCAGTAAATGAACAACAAAGCCAACACCAATGGACAGTCCATTTCCAAACAAGAAAATGAACTAAAGTTAGCCTAAATAAAGAGCAGTCAGTTGGTAGTCACACTCAGAGCACCTTTTCTTACCACAGTTCTGAAGCTTATGGTCACTGAGCTTCAACCACCACTCTCCCCAAGTCCCCCCCAGCCCTGCACTCAACTCTGTGATGTGGTGCACACCTGGAGATCCAATTCTGATCTGAAAATCTTACCCAATATAGAATCTTCTCTATCCCCTGCTAATCCATTCCTGATCCAAATCACTGTCATTGTGGAGGAGCTGCACTTATCTCCTTGCAGCTTATTTCCCAGCTTGTCTCAGTAGATCTTGGTGTTTAACTCTATTAGGATTAAAATTGGCTTTACTCATGGCCCAGGCTCCAAGCAATACACAGAGAGCTTTAAGGCAACAGGCTAAATCCATCCCTAGAGCCAGTGAGGATTCCAGAGCCGCACCCTGCATAAACAGCTTGGGAATATCGAGCAGATTTTAAGAGTAATTTGTGCATCTTTAAAGAAAAGGACTTGAGGAAGTTTTGGCAAGCCCTGGACAGGGGTCAGGAGGCCCTTCAGGCCGTTCTGTCTGAGTGAAACAAAGGTGCTGGCGCTGGCAGGTGCCTTCAGGCATGACAAGAAAGGTGGTGACAGCCACACACTGCTCAGGGACATCCTCAGCATTCCCAGTTCCACACGGTCCAGCCAGTTGTTTACTGGGGTGTGTTGCTGGAGCTGTATGGCCTCAGTGAATGGGACTCTGTGTGTTTGAGCATGTTCATTCCCACAGCTCAGGCTCACCTGAGGACAACATTCCAGCTGTCCTAGGTACTTCTGACACCCAGTTATTGTTTTAATGGCACTGGAGATTATAGTTCATAGGAGAGAGAAAGTTTACTGGCATGCAGGAACAAGTCTCCAAGGCATTTTTTGACACAGATTCCATTTCAGAATGGTTTACGTTTAAAGATTATATTCCACGGAGAAGGTGCAGTGATAACATGACCTACCCAAGTATAATCGAGGCACTTCAAGAATGGCCATGAGGAAAAGCACAGCAAGATCAGGAACCAAGAAGTCATCTGGATAACTGAAAACTTGACCTAGAAAATACAGCAGGGTAAATAATCCAGGAAAACAGTGGGAGCAGGACCAACCCCAGCCGGGTAGGAGCACACAGCCAGCTCTGCCTCACAGTACCTGCAACTTACTTTTGTAAACTATCATTGCAAGAGTTGCCAGGAAGTAGAAGATGTAATAAATCCCATTTACATAAAACAGGATTTGTAAGGGAAGTGATGACAGCTGAGAACTGTTGTTAAGGATTTCTCATAGCCATGAGATGGGATCTATTCCAGAAAATCACCATTTCCCACTAACCCCAAAATATACTGTTCTGCCTTTTGGTACTAAATGGCTCAGCTATGCCTGGCCTGTGTGGAGGGCTCAGGAAGGAACTTGAGGCTGCAAACACCAGGAGTTGGGATAAAAGCTTGCTGTTTCAGGCTTGGCTTTAGTTCCTTTTTTAAGGAATTTTATTTGGTCTGCAGTGGGGTATCCATTAGCCTGAGGAAATGGGGGGGGGGGGGGTGCATGCGGGCACTGCCCCACACAACTTCCACACCTCTTAGCCAGCCTTAAGGAACTTGGCAGAGGGTTGGCAGCCTCCAATCCATCAAATTCCTAGGAGTTTGGAGAAGAGGTAGCTGTGTGCAGCAGCCAGGTCCTGTTCCTGCCACAGGATGGAAAAGCTGTGCTGTTACCTGCCTTAGAACCCAAGAGCTCAGCTTTGCAATGCAAATTCCCAAGAAACAGACTTAATTCCCTCCTCTCTCTCCCCCAGCCCTTCTCAAATCCTCTGAGTGTCTCCAAGCAGGGACTTCATCCCAGGCACCTTCTACAGAAACTGCCCATCCTGTTTGTGAGCCCACCCACATGCCCTGGATCCATTCCAGTTCCCAGAGCAGCTCATTTCACTAACACAGAACCAGGTTTGGAGGTTTTTCCAGTTGAAGGAAGATGGAGCAAAAAATTACTAGAGAGGTTCTAAGCATGGAAATCTCCAGAGTTGAGCGTGTCTCCTCCTGTGAGGTTACTTGGATCTTGGCAGGAATAAAGGTGGAGTGAATTACCACAGGAGAGGAGGAAGCACTACTGAGAGCTGCTTTTACTATGCCTTGTCAGCTGTGTCAGCTGTCTGTGAGCTGTGCTGCATGGGGGTGTGCCCACCAGTCCAGAAATCCAATTTTTAGCCTTGTTTCCCAAGAAAATGGGAGTTAAGTGATAAGAAAATGAAATGTGGTACTGTTTCTGCTTCCTGTGGATATGCTAATGAAAAACTCAGGAGCACAAACACAGCACTGTGCAGGTTTATTAAGCAGATGTGAATCCACTTCAGCCAGTCTTCCCAAGGATCCTCACATGGAGCGAGGAATGGTACAGAAAGGATACAACTTCTGGAGTTCTTCCTTTTTGTGGAGAAGGAGAAAAGAAAGAGAAGAAAATAAGTCTAAACAGTTACCAGAAGTGCAGCAGAAACATTGCAACAATGCTATCAGGACTGGGACATTCATTGTTTGCTCAGTTCAGGTTCCAAAAATAACCTTTGCAACTAGACGCAGCCGAAAATAATTTGGGGAAAATCCCTGCTGTGAAGAGCCACTTCCACCGAGGAACCCAAAGCCTAAAGGAGAGCACAGACTCACCCAAAACTTGTTCATCCTGTCCTTTCCCAGCAGATGACACTTCATCCCCTCTAACTAGGCAGGGAGAACCACAACGGACCATTTGCTTGTGATTGTGAGAAAATTTCTGGAGAACACAGGGCCCTCCAAATATGATCCCTCCAAACCAGTTCCCTTCACAGGCAAAGTCACTCTGTGTCACACCTCTGCATGTTCTGATCACCCACAGAAATCAAACCAACTATTTTCTATGATCTAACATTTTTCTTGTTATTTTCTGCCAAAATCACGTAAAATTCCTGTGCAATATGATGGTTCTGAGGTTCCTCATTAATATTCTTGACCTTTTTCAGACACATGAAGCATTACAAAGTTCGGATTTCTGTTCCAGAAAGGAAAACTACCTGTGAAAGGCCATTTCAACTGTCTCCTTAGGGATGGCTCATTGTCATCATGTTGCCACCCTCATCCCTGGATTCCCAAGGTCAATGTTCTCATCACCTCAATTTTATGCACTTGGGCCCAAATTAATCCCCACTGACTCCAGGCACTTAAGTAGGTGTCCAGTTTGGAAATGCAGTGGAAACAGACGAGTGATTTGGGGTGACTGATGTGTCCATGATCTGAAATGTCTCATGTGTTCCTCTCTGTACAGGGAGTGGAAGCTCCCAGCACTCAGCCCTTCACTCAGGAGTAACAAGACAAGGAGCAATGTTTTTAAACACCAAGACAGTAGGTTTAGATGGGATATTGGGAAGAAATTTTTTTCTGTGAGGGTGCTGAGGCACTGGCACACGTTGCCCAGAGAAGCTGTGGATGACCCATCCTTGGACGTGTTCAAGGCCAAGTTGGATGGGGCTTGGAGCAACCTGGGCCAGTGGAATGTGTCCCTGCCCATGTCACTGGATGGGCTTTATAGTCCCTTCCAACCCAAACCATTGCAGCATTCCATGATTCCATGTTCACTCGATATCGGCAACTGCAGCTACAGCACTGATGTCAGGGGTGCAGGAAATCTCTCAGGGCTTTATTTCTTTAATCCTTTCCCAGGAGAGGGCAGTGACACTCCCGCAGCTGTCCCGGGGTGGCAGCCACATTCCTGAGGACATGCTGCCTCCTCCCGAGCCACTGGGATACTTCACGCGGGATAAACCTTTAAACCTCTCAGGACACACGGCAAAGGGACACTGGGTCCCTGTTGGGATTAGGGATGTCTGTGTGGCTGTGTGCTGCGGTTTTAAACTGAGAATGAGTATTTTGTCCTAGGAAAAATCCCATCCCAGTACCTATCTAGGCCTTTCAGGCACTGATATGCACTCGCAGTAGCAAGGGCAGTGCCTGCTGTGCTCCAGGAGAAACCAAATCCTAACGTGGGGCTGATGTTTAAATTCTTTAACGCAGGAGGGAAACTCCCAGGGAACGCGGCGGTTCACACAGCCGAATGCAAAGATGTGTCAGCCTCCGGCGGGCGATCTGCCCGGGGACACAGGCGCTCATCTGCCCCTTTGACGAGCTCCTCAGCAGGGCTCGCAGCCACCTCAGCGTGTCGGGGCTGTCGCGATATACCCACGGGGTGTGCTCAGCGCCGAGCTCCATCTCGCCGCCGCGGTGTGCCCCGCCCGGCGCTGCGGTGCGG